CGTGGCGCATTAAAAAAGTCGACTTTAAACCTGAAGCAACCATGTGCCCATTCACGCTGAAATTCCAATCGGTGTTGTTCTATCTCTTCGACAAGATTTTTCAATTGACGCTCCAGCAGTTGGGTCCGGAGTTCCAATGTGGGAAGGCAGATAGGCAGACCAACCCCGGCTCACACGTCGCACTACATGCGAATGCCGTCTAGCCAGCATTCAAACAGTCAGTCAATCGATCAATCGATTTGGTCACAGGCATGTATGAACACAAATCAGTCAGTTGGAGGCCACAACAAATATCAATCAAGGAGCAAATTGACGATGCGCAGGTTGGCAGAACATATGCACTTAAGCTGCAGGCGCGTATGCAGCAGTCGAGTATATGCTGCAGCAGTTCGGCCAGTGCTGCTCTACGGTGCAGAGACTTGACCACTACGGGAACAGGATACAATAGATTTTCGGTGTTCGAACATCGATCGCATTGCACGGGTCTGTTGGGGTTATCGGACGAGCAATGCTGAGGTGGGGCGTAGTTTTAGGTAATCACGGTTGTCCACTGGAGCAAGTGGTCGACCTCTATAGATTACGCTGTTTGGGGCATGTGTTACGTATGTCACCAAATAGGTTGCCACGGCGAGCGATGTTTACCGAGGTGGGTGGCGGTTGGAAAAAGGTCAAACGAAGACCTCTCATGGGGGTATGAAAACCCTAACCAGGAGACTGGTTCACATAGGTCCAGTTAGGCTCCCTGGCTCGGGACCCTAAGATGATGGTCACTGATGTTTGGAGACACTGATCGAAATGGCTGGGTTCCGCAAACAATGGCACTCATGCATCTACTCATTATTCTTTTAACATCAGTCTAACTGAATTCTCTATCTTCGCTTGAATTTGCTCTCACCACTCCAATCTTCATTCCTCTCTTTTATTCAAATGAGTGGCCAAAAGACAGCAACCAAAGGTGGCCCACGAAAGTCCATGGTTAGTGGTTTCAAAAACTGAAACTGAGAACTTTGATAATCCTCGCTTTAAATAATTCAAAACATTCATTTTGTCATGAAAACCCTAGTTATTTGTTAATTCCCGTTGTTAATGACTTCGTTAGTGTAGTAGGTCACCCCCTAGATACCGAGCACA